GGACTGATCTCGAACTGCGGTAGGCGAATTAAAGAGCATTATTTGACTGTTTTTGTCTCAGCATCCTCTCAAGAATAATTTTTTCGGACACCTTTAAGGTCATCGACGTACGGACATTTGGTCGATATTTGCTTGAGTCCTTTAGTTGGTGTCAGTGTGATACTGACGGCTCTCCAGCAGCCGGCAGTTTTATGTCCTTCAATGCACAATCTATGTAAAGCAGCTTGAAGTTTGGCCAGGAAGTCACCACATTACTTGTGGACAACTGGTGTGTGTGTTCGGACCGCTTAGTATCCATGAGTGCAGCTCTTTCTGTAACTTGTGCACAGTATCTCTGTCTATAAAGGGCAATACACAGCAGTACGCTGGTACAGTACTAACGCTTCGCTGCTGCGCAACTACCACCGGTCGCTTGTGGATAAGCGATTTTGCGAGGGTCGCCGGTCCCTACACAGGATGGAACCCGCGCTCTCTTATTAAAAGGCAGGCTTGTGATCCTTAGGGTTACGGGCCAGCGACAGAGGACAGTGAGTCTGCAAACAATTTAGGCTAGGCAAAGGACGAGTCAGAGATCGAGTTGTGGTAACTTCCAGAAGTCATGGTTCTATTTTTCTACATCTACCTCGGAAGTTGACGTGCACCGTGCAACCCCGCTTAGTTTTTTCAACACCCTCCAGCATAGCCTGAACGTACACGTTGTTGAGACGGCGAAATTCGTTATAAAAACAAAAATTGACTTTACGGGAGTCTTGTCTCCTTTGAACCATTTCTCCTTTTTTATACGCAGCCGCGCTTCAGATGTAAGAGGATCTACCGCACAGATAAACAGTTTCGCAGGGACAGCAAATGTCAAAACAGAAGTTCAGATAGCTTGTCAACTGTTCGCAATACGTAGAGACATCATTGTCCAAAGTCATTGCATGATACTATTTCTCGTAGTTGGTCAATAATCTGTGTGGAACATTGCCTCCATCTGAACTTGCGATCGATGAAACTAGTAGCCTTCTAGTTTGTCCTAGGGTAAGCTACATGACACAGCTTAACTGCTGGGTGATCAGAGCTGCCAAGCGGCGATCTATTACTTACAGAGAGCACATCTAAAGTCGCATCGGATCCGCTGGGGTAGTTTACTATGTTCTGTAACTCAAGACCGGTAAGTAGAGCGATGTCAAATCGATTAAAATCGCCGGCAACAACACATAGTGAACAATGTGACAGTACAGTAAACTCATCGTAAAATGTCTATGCTTGGGTTTCCGATATGTGGGGAAAATATGGATGTGAGCTAATAAGATTGAGCGATACCCACTGATAAATCTTGGCTTGCAACTCAAAGCTTAGCAGCTAATACATTGTGAAGAGAAGCAAAACAAAATCTTCGTAGATATGTACCAGGAAGTGTTGGTGTAAATGATGACTCCACTATCATGGTTGCGATACGCATAAGAGCGCTTGACTCGATGACATTCGAGCCCTTTTACCTATACAAGTACGTCATCCATCACTTCGTGAAGCCAGGTCTTGTAGCAAAACTTTGCCTACTTGCGAATATTATCGGAAGTTAACAGTATTTGTTAGTTTATCCATTTTCCCTAAAAGCAAACGGGTGTTTGAGGCAAATAAGACAGATGTGCTCACGCTTACCAAGTTTTTCTTCCAAAGAGCAACCTTCCACTCAACTGTATTTGCTTGCGCAATTCTTGCACTTGTAAATTCGTTTCAGTTTATTCCTCATAACATGACCATTGGAAAAGGCACAGCTTAGGAGCGCGCGTATCGGTCAACACGATAATGATTGTAACCAGATAAAAAAGCGAAACTACAATAGTTTTATAAAACCAAATCGTGTATCTTAATAATTCCACGAAGCAAATTTAAAGGCCCCGTCGAGGGCAGAAAGATATCAGGACACAGAGCGTAGTAGATGCTAGCGAGACGTCATGTACCACATTGTGGACAGTTCCACTCTGGTAGATAATCGCCGTATTTTATCTGGTCTGAATTACATATAGGAAAGTGTAGCAGTTACTTCACCCACTGGCCTCTGCAGAATGGTCAACAAGTTGTAAATTAAGGATTTCAAGAAATAAACTCTAGCGGATTTCCTTTACATCACTCAAACAGGTGGCACTTATAGTCATGGTCAAATGATTTCTGCTGTATCTTCCTTTATCTCTTCGTTTCACTGGTCTCGTTAATGTTTTATATGCGTTCGCGCTGTTAAGTGCCGATGCTCTTTCAACACTGAGTTGACAGTAAAAGCGACGAGTTTTCTCGCTTGAGTTTCAGTGCAAATCATTCCGAAGTTACATACCTACAATAGGCGGTAAGCCGCACAGCTTTTAGGAGCAATGTGAAAAAGTCGAACCTGATCTATTGAATTAAATTTAATGACGGAAATTCAAGCAGTGTAAGAGGAAAAAGTGTGTCCACACGCGTGGTAGTCTACTGACTTGGGCGTTTTATGAATTCTTCCTTCGGCGCCGACCACTGTCTGTTTGTGGATATAGCGGGCTTCCATCCGTAGTGACCGCATCTTGTTATCTTGATTTTAGCATATCGCATCAGAGCACTTTGTTCTCTCAGCAATTATCATTATCACTCTATATGTTAGGGAAAGGTGAGAAACACCTCATCCTCTGCCGCAGTGTGGGCATGAAGCTAAACACTCACTTCAGTGAGTCAAGAAAATGGCACAACCACTTGTGGTTAAAGTCACATGTCATTTTTTAACCAAAAGCACAACTGTCGTTTGTAGCAAGACAAACGTGGCTATTTACGCGTTCTTCCACTTAAATAATGACGGTCCGAAACAAATACTGTTTGTTTCACATGCGCATGACCTTTGCTGATTTCCTTTCACGATTTTCCCTTCAGACATGCTTCATTTCCTGTCTCTCAAGTGCAGCGGTGCGTCTGGAGCTGGCCTCCGAAATCGACCGTATTCGCCGTGCTCCTAGTTCGTCCTATCTAGTCCCGACAAGTGAGGAGTACTCACTTCGACCCCTGTTGTACCAATCGCAACATTACGCACATCGTTCACCAATTGATGGTCATCTCAACGCATTCGCCTACACGAACACTGTTGGGTCTAGCCTCACCGGCCAGGTGCATCCGCAATTGATCACCCCATTGAGCGCTGGTATAGTCACTCCACCTGGTCTCACGCCGCATCAGCCGCATTACACGATGCAACGCTAAGCTCCTAACTCGACATCCAACCTGTTCAATATTCCGACGCTAAACGTATGCACACTCCCTTCCCCCATTTCTCCATCTGCTTTTGTGTTTGTTTTTTACACATTGTTTAATTGCACACCAGCATGCTGATGTACATCTGTCTTCCGCCAACGAAAGTGACGATCTCAACTTCTCACTAGGTACCTTCCTGGCGACTGTTTTTGTATATCTGTGCCCCTTTTTGTTCTTATTTTCCCTGATATACTTTACAGACTTTTTATTGTATCTTTCATTCATAGTGTCGATAAAGATTCCTTCGCAATTTTCACAGTACGTTCTGCAGGTTCCTGTCATCAGTTGTTGTCTTCTTGCTCCACTGAATAACTAGGCTGCACAGGGCCTCCGACGGTTGCTCAGCACATTTAGTATTTCAGATTGGTTTTGTCTGCATCGTGTACTTTGAAAACACAAACCTGTTGTTCGCGTTCTGTGCCTTATTTGCCACCACCTTTGTCGGCTATGCGCCCTTGATCGGGAGTCGCAGTCGTTCATTTTTCCATTTGAGAAATCTATGTGCCATCTCTGTGTTTCATAGTTCTCATCTCCCCACAACCCTGGCATTGTATCGTGATTCACACTTAACCAATAACTCCCTCAAACTACCTCTCAAGTCGAAATGAGGTTCCGTTTTTTCATTGTACACTAGTGGTCCATACACCACATTTCGGTGGACCCTGTTAACTCGATTGGCGTCATAATATGTATGATTCGTGGTAGTAAGAGATACTCATTAAAAAGTCTTGTGAGGTGGATTGGAAAGACATTTGAACTTAATCGCGCTGGAGTCTATACAGAGACCGAGTGCTGATGCGTCGTTGACTTCGTCCAAGCTGAGTGAATCACGGCGTATGCTGAGCCTCAACAAACCAAATATTCCCATTTCATTGTTCATAGCCAAAACCAGAAACCGAAATATGGGTGAAGAATCCTTTTCGAGGAAACTCCCACTACAGCCTCACATTTACACTATGGGTTATAAGTAGAAGTGCCGGAAAGGGCTAAATGTTAAGTACACCCACTTTGAACAATGGATTCGATAACCTAAGTCACAGCTACCGATAATGTACTCAGTTAGAACATGGAATAGTAGGCACAATCACTCGAGAATACCAAGATAGACAGCTCGAATGGGAATCAACTCGTTAAGTAACAGGGCTCGTTGGCCAAGGTAACACAATAGGCCGCACGTAGTTCCTTCAAACACATAACTCGGGTTTCAAATGGCGAAAACATATGGTCTCCGCAATAGATAGCAGTTTTTTGCAGAAGCATCGCGAGTAACGTTCAGGCAGTGAGCAGAGCACTTTGAAATCTTTCTCTGATGCTGCATGGCCGTATTCAGGGTGTGACAAGATTGAGCTGTTTAATAACATTCGCCTCTGTAGAACCACATTGGGGTATGCTCGCGTATCCTCTGGGATAAAGGCCTCGAAATGCGACCGACGCGTCGTGCAAACCAGGATCACACGTATTGATCGAGACAACGAGGGTAATTTATCTTTCAATGACCTGGTAAGCAGTGACTTATTCTAATAAACTATTCCCAAACGAGCTGTAGAATATGTCGCTATTCCAAACACTTTATGTTGTGACTTTCGCTGATTGTACGGATAACCTGCTGCTACCGCGCAAGCTGACTGGCCGACTTCCAGACTAGAAGACAGGCCTCAGGCGATTACTGTACTACGCACCCTACAAACAGTATATGCAAATCAAGTTATGGGGTCGAATCAATAATAAGGGAATGGCCTAGCGCTCACTGGCAGACTTCAAGGTAGACCATCCCTGTTGGTAGCGTTCAAGGTGAAGCGTCATCCTTAACCCCCTCTCACTAGTTGGCCAATAAGCTTCGGCCTGCGTCATGTACATCTGTTCCGGGCCGTTAGGAAAAGGGTACCTGCCCAGTTAACACTTTTGAACAGAAATGCTGCAATGTGGCCTCTATCCATATAAAAAATTATTGTGGTGGCATACATTTAACTATGTCGATACCGTTCGCGTGAATCTGAACTGGAGAGATGGAGGGTCAAGTTTGGATTACACGTTGTGTGATTGGATTGCGACACGCAACCTCAATTGAATGGACTGTGATTCACATTGAAATAAACCTTAGTCACCGCGATCACTGGGACCGTATTCAAAGTAGATAGAAATTGGGTATTGCCCACCCGAAAACACTGCACAGCCACGACGCGTTTCGATGTAATTTTCATCTCATCAGGTGGAGACAGCAGGATTTGAACCCACGACCATTGGAATAGCAGCCAACACTACTACCCCTTTGGCTACCTGGTCATGATGGGCAACACATTTTGTCACAACGGTAACTGACTAATTGGAGGGTCAAGTTTGGATTACACGTTGTGTGATTGGATTGCGACACGCAACCTCAATTGAATGGACTGTGATTCACATTGAAATAAACCTTAGTCACCGCGATCACTGGGACCGTATTCAAAGTAGATAGAAATTGGGTATTGCCCACCCGAAAACACTGCACAGCCACGATGCGTTTCGATGTTATTTTCATCTCATCAGGGGGAGACAGCAGGATTTGAACCCACGACCATTGGAATAGCAGCCAACACTACTACCCCTTTGGCTACCGGGTCACGATGGGCAACACATTTTGTCACAACGGTAACTGACTAATTGGAGGGTCAAGTTTGGATTACACGTTGTATGATTGGATTGCGACACGCAACCTCAATTGAATGGACTGTGATTCACATTGAAATAAACCTTAGTCACCGCGATCACTGGGACCGTATTCAAAGTAGATAGAAATTGGGTATTGCCCACCCGAAAACACTGCACAGCCACGACGCGTTTCGATGTAATTTTCATCTCATCAGGTGGAGACAGCAGGATTTGAACCAACGACCATTGGAAAAGCAGCCAACACTACTACTGTTGTATACGTAAGGTCAAAACGCACGAGCAAGTTAAAAGGTCATTCTGATACACGGACTGCTGTAATCTGATCAATGTCTAACTGGGTGAGTACATAAAAGTGTCACAAGGAGAATGATGAACCAATAGGGAAGCAGAGAATTGGACGCTTTGTGTATGTGTGTGTGTGTGTCTGGAGTTGTGTGCACCTGTCTGTTTAGACTAGGTCAAGAATGCTGACAGAATACACAACATCACCTCTCCGCCTAATCGTTTGATACGTCAAATCC